GAACCAATCGATTCTAATAGCTAGAGGTGCACATTAGCACACCACTAATTGTACCATAACTTCAAACAGGGTAATGAGAGGGCTTTTAGAATTTTCAATTTTCTCGGAGATTTGGTGTCTCCTGTGAGAATTCCTACTACAGTTCCTTTATCCACTACGTTAATACACACACAACCCAAAATCCACCAATTTGCTCCGATGAGGGATAACTTTCGGGACTTTAGCATTTCAAATTCCGCCTGGTTTTCTCATAAACTCTCTTAATCTTTAACCTCGATACAACTGACTCCTACGAATAGCAGCTAAAACAATAAATCACTTACCCAAAGTGCCTCCGAATAAAAAATAAGCCTACAACGATCAATGCTAAGAACAGAAAAGTCCCTGCTGCAGTGATGGAATACAGAAGTGTTTTGGAGATACCATATGTGACCTGTGACTTGGACGTATAGGAAACGTCTGAGGAAGTAAAAGTAGAAATTAAAAGTAAACCCGACTTTAAAAAGTTTTGATTGCTAGTTTGCCGAATGAGAAGGTAATGCGTTGTTAATACGTTTAGTCGGAGGACTACCTTATAAACGAGAAGAGACTGGAAATGAGTATCAAATTGACTACGAAACACAACAAAACATCATAATCTTGACAATCTCGCATCTGCTTCATTGTGTATGGGCTTGACGAATAGCTTTTGAATGCCTTTACTGGGCGCGCGTTTTTCAAAATAGTAAATTCATTGAAACTTGCAGAAGAGTGCCTTTGCGACAGATTTTTCCTTTATTATTATTATATTTTTTTTTATAGTTTAACTTACCTTGGCAGTTTCTGCGCGATCTTGAAGCCGTTTTCCCGAAAGTCGATTTCCCGGATGGACACGGAACACAAAAAGTCTGTGCCTCTTGATCCTGGTATTGGTTAACTGTACATGCTTGACAATCAGTGCCGTTAAGGAAGTAGCCAAGGGGGCAGTTAACTAAAAGAAATGACGTTAATTTCTTTCTCAGTTTAACTCTGAATTATTAGCAACAGTTACTGATAACAATTACTAATGTAAAAATTAACTGGGAACTCCTTACCGCAACTCGTCCCTCTTAAAACTTGGCCTGCATCACAAAGGAGACGAACAAGGCGAAATATTGGTGGTTTTGATGGGTCGTATTCTATAATAGTATCACTGATGTTGAGATTCAG